GTTGCAACAAAAGAAAATAAATAATTTAATTATTTCAATGTTTACTAATAATTACGTCGATAAAAAAGGAAAATTTGAGAAAAAAAGAAAATTGGGATTCAGATACTCAGAAAAACCTCATTGTTGGTGGTTCATCCTTATATACATACAAAATTGCTATGGTGTCCATTTTTCTACCAACCAACCTTCTCCAAAAAATCAACAACCAAAGTTATGAAATTGAATAATTTTATCTCCAAATATAAACATGATATACAAGAGAAACTAAGAATAATAACATCAAATATCATTTCTTCTCTTGCAAAGGTCTTTGGCTTCGACTGTAATTTGGGTCCATTTAGATTTTCCACATGTACCTGAGAGATCACATATTTTATGGCGTCATTAAAAAATGGACTAATTTCACGCATGTCCTTCTGACACACGTTGTCCATTTCTCTTCGAACCAATCACCGTAAAATGACGTGCAAAAAAAAAATCATCATTTCACATTTTTCGAAGCATCATTTTTCTCTCTCTTCTTTCTTTCTCATCACACCTATAAATAGCTATCTTACCCTCTCTTTTTCCCCTTAAACGAACATTCTCATACAAAAAAACTCTCTCATATTATGTGCAAGCAAGAACACCCAAAAATCCTTCAAACCAGTTCCTTCTTCTTCTCTAAAGAAAACATGTTTGTCAATTTTTTTTTGCTGTTAATTTTCAAGAAACATGTTTTTTATTTAATTTTCTTCTTTTTTCCTTTTAAATACAAACAACTGGTCATATAAATATTTCTATTTCTTGATTTATACTAACTGTGTTTCTAAAATCTTCTTGAAAATCCTAATTTCTTTTGGTTTTTCAAATGAAAAGTTTATCTTTCAAACTTTTGTTTCAAATGTGCTTTCTAACATAATATTGTGTACGATTCCATTTTGTTTCTTCTTCTCTCTAAAACAAAAATGGTTGCTACTTCAAACGTACATTTTGGTCTTGAAGATTGCTCCTTCAAACCAAACAATCACGTTGCACTACTGGAAATCCCCATAGACAAACCCCAGTTTGCGGATGTTGCTCCTTTCCTCAAGAACGGTGTACTAGAATATACTCTCACCTTCCAACCTGCCATGGTGAAGGATATCCTGAGACAGTTTTGGTACACTGCTGAAGCAAAGATGCTGAAGGACAAGGATAGAAACTCCATTGTCAAGATCCTCTGTGAGATCAACAATATGACGTTGAGTTTTGGCTTTATAATGGTTTGCACCGCTCTATGGCTCCCAAAGAGCGTTTCCTACTCCAGCAATCCAGACAATGATCATATCGTCAAATTTCTAGACGATATTCACTATGACTGGCTGCTAAAGAAAGACTATGACTTAGAGATCAACAAGTCGCTGACCAAGATTGAGAAGAATCGGATGACAACGATCTGACAATACATGTTCTCTCACTTCATTCAGTGCATGGGTGGGAAAACAGGAGGCCAAGATCAAGCAAGCAGGGTGGTGTTGAACATCGTTTGTTCAGTTATCAGAGATATCAACATCAACTACGCTCAGCTTATCTTTGATGACTTGGTACTGAAGCTAAACAAGAGCCAATGGGAAAAGGTGGCTTCCTACACTAGGTTCCTGAGTGAGATTCTAGCCAGGATCTTAGCAACAAAGTACCCCGCTCAAAGCAACCTTCCCATCTACAGGCTTGGATCAAAGATTTTTTATCACAAGTCCAAGCCATCAGATGTTTGTTTATTTCCTCAAATGTTGACTGTGGCAAACCCCCTCAGTCAACCTCAGTTACTACCTCCTTAACCTCTCGAAAGAGGACACCATCTGAAGCCACTCTTAATCCCTTAAGGAGGGTTAACAAAACCATAAAGGGAAAGCCATCTAAGCTGGCTGAGACCTCTCAACAGGTCTCAACTATTGAAGTCTGTCTTACACCTGAGGCATCTGTTTTTCCCCTTCCTACCTCCTCAGTAATATCTTTAGTTGTTGTCATATGTGTGGCACATATTAAACCACTTCAGTGACTCAAATCACTAAATGTGTGATTTCCAGCATAGCCACTGTTGATCCTTCACATCTCTTCTCAACTGTTCTCTCCTTCCCTCCTTCTTTGGTCTTTATTAGATAAGTTGATGACCCAATGGTGGTTGTCCCCACTATTATCACCACAGGAACCCCTGAGAATGCTCCTCTCGACTCCCCTCAGCAACGTGCTGCTGATCCTCTCGACAACACATTTGAGATGTTCAGCGGTAATTCTTCAGATACTATTGATGAACCCTCAGGTATACACCAAACCCCCTCCCTTTCTTTATTTGTTACTAACCCAAAGATCTCTCATGTTCAATGTTCTCCTCTCTCTACAGGTCTTATGGAGACTGAACCCCCAGTCACTAAGACTGACGCCTATGATATGGCTCGGGATGTCAAGCTGCTTCTCCCTGCTGTTGCGACCATTCTTGACAAAATGGACAAAGTTCAACAAGTAATTCCCTCGAATGATGACCTAGTTCACGACCCCACTGTTGTCCAAGCTGAGGTTGGTGAAGTCAAAGAAGAGATGAACTCCATGAAGATGGGAATCCAGCAAAACTCTGAAGCTGTCGCTGCTCTCTCCACCAAGGCTGAAGATGTTTAGCCTCAGCTTACCAATCATGGTGAGCAACTTGAATGGATTTTCCAGCTTCTATAACAACTAACACCTGTCCCTACACCCTCCTTCAGTGTAGCTGATCATCATCAACTGGATATGGTCGTTGAGCTCAACCTTCGTCAAGCTAAACCCATTGCCTCCATGGAGCAAAAGCTGCAAAACCTGGTTTCTCACCTCCCTCTCTCAGGTAATGGTATTGATGATGACAAAGAAGGGGAGAAGGACCTTGGGGAGAAGGCATTGGAAAACGCTACAGAGAATGCCTGGAAGAAGACCCTTGAGGATGCCATTGATGATGATGTTGTGGTTACTCTTAACCATGAAGACCTTCTTCCTTCTACCTCTGCATTTTCAAATGTTGGTGAAGATGAGAAAGATGATGAGGAGGAGGAGGATTCTAAGCCTTAGATCCCAAATGCAGGTATGGATCTTGGTGGTKATGATGATGACGATGATAATTTCTCCGTTCAGATCATACCAAGACAGCCTGCTAAAGGAATCTCCTTCAGAGAACCTGTTTCCCATAGGGGAGAGATCATTGCACTAGCACTCCCACTTTGGAAAAGAGAAATGAGTCGTTGAATAAAACCTTGCCCTACTTCTTGGGGAATTCAGCCAATCTGAGGATGCAAATACTTATTCATAGTTTGTACCCTCCACCTCAAAAGTTGAACCTTCTATTCCTATATCTCTATCTCTCTGTGCAACGCATACCCTCAATCTCTCAACCCATCTTCCTTCTTTTGAAATCCTTGAGGATGATGAAGATGAAAATGAAGCCTTCAATCTCATACCCAAGAAGTCATCAAGACAACCTGTATGCTCAGAGGTTGAAGAAGACCCGAGGATGACTCAGCTTATAAGTCAACTTGACCAATCCAGAGTAAAACTTCCTCTTCATACCTCTGGATGTGGTGAGTTCAACTTCCTCTCTGAAGCTGAACGTGAAGAACCCCTGAAAGTTGAACAAGAGCTGAAGGAATATCATCAACAACTTAAAGATAGACTGGA